AAATATAAATAACATAGTAAAAGGCAAACCGAAACCTAACAACTAAAGCAGTGTCCTTAATTTTTTTTAAATAAAATTTAAAAATTTCTAGATATGCATAAAATTGACAAGAATAATGTAGACATGTTAATTAATGTGTATTTGATTTTATTGCTTGAGCAATAAATAAAATAAGAATTTGAACTGTATAGCTTGGTTGTGAATCTTAAAAAAAATAAAAATAAAAATAAAAAAATGTGAACCGTTAAAAAAATTTAAAAGACAGAAAACAAAAAAAGATTAATACTGTGTATTTAGCTTTTGGTTGTGAATCTTTAAAAAAAAAAAGAAATGATTGTGAACCTAAAAAAAAATCTTCTTTAAAAATCAAAAAAGAAAAAAATTAAATGTTATTTAGCTTTGGTGTGAATCTTAAAAATTAAAAAAAAATGGTTGCAGACCTTAAAAAAAAAAAAAAAGATTGGAGTGATTTACTTTGGTTGTGGATCTTAATAAAAAATAAATAAAAAATTGGTTGTGAACCCTGAAAAACAAAAATATATTGAATATATATTTGTTTTGTTGTGAATCTTAAAAGAAAAAAAAAAAAAAAAAAAAAAAAAAAAAAACATATGGAGAAATTAGTGGGTATCCATCCCCAACCCATCCCCTGTGGATATTTAAAGAATATTACTTACCCTACCCAATAGATAAGAAAAAGAGGGAAAAACCCATGTATTTAGATTGGGTCTCCATAGATACCTACAGGGCATGTTATCCATTGCCATCCCTATTAGGTTGGGCCAAGCTGGCCCATTGCCCTGCTCATTAAATGTTCCCATTATTTTAAAAAGAATAGCTTTTTTCCTCTGAATTTGAAAGCTTCAATTTTAAGCATTAGATAATGTTATATTTGTATTCTTGAAAAAATTTTAAAGCTCTAAATTTATTCATTTGCTGGAAAAATTCATTAATCTATCCAATATTAGGTCAGACTTTGGTGGGATTTAAATTTGGATTATTGAGTGAAAGTTAAATTTAGGCTAGTAATTTATAAAAAATTTCAAATGTTTTCTATTTTTTTTAATTCAATACCACCTTCTAGTCTAAATAAATTTAAAAAATAATTTTTTTTGAATTAAAGTTGAAAAATCTACATTAAAATTAAAAATAAATCAATATATAAATTATTGCCAAAATAAATATTTCAAATACATGACACATGATTTAGCAAAGGTTAGTATTAGAGGTATCTAAATATCGTATAGCATTTTTCTTTTGGCTACTTACACTACAAAAGTATCTCCTTAGAGCATTTCCAAAAACGCAAGTATACATTTTACTTATCTATACATTACTACAAAGTATACATTTTATTTTGTCTATAAACTATTTCATATTTCTATTTCAACCATATTTTTTATTTTAGCTATTCATTCAAATATTATTAACTTTATAGAACGCCATATCAACAATAAAGATGGAGGGAAATGATAACAATAATTAAATACATTTGCCTAACCTTTAAAGGCTAGCTACATGTAGTTAGTGAATGTAAATTGGCCTAAAATGCCTAATTATATGCCTAGTGCATTGAAGTTCAAAAAAAATAAATTATACTAGACATTTTGACTAACGAACATAAAATGCCCAGTGAGTTAGAAATTCTCTACGAAGAGTTATACTAGGCATTTGAGCATCCACAATGGAATAGCTAAAAAAGTGTGTTAAAGTGTATTATATATATGACAAAAAGTGATAAAAGTGTGGCTAAAAAATGTGTGTTAAAAGTTTGTTAATTTTAGAGAGTGGGTGGTGGTATAATGAATGTGTTAAAGTGTATGTTAAGAAGTGTGTTAAGAATATATATATATATATATATAAACAATAAATAAAATAAATAATAATTGAAAAATGCAGTGGGCCCCACCCCACTACACTATCAATGCTAGGGGTGGGCGTGGGTTGATTGTGGCCATGGAACCTCCAATCCGCCATCTGTCCACCAGGTTGGCGGATTGGAGAAAATTAATCTGCATCCGTCTGCCAATCTAGTGGATGTGGATTGAGCGGATTGGCAGATAGATGTGAATCGATTTGGCGGTTAAAATTTTATAAATTTTCAACATAATTCACTTTGTGTACTTCCTCAAAAAAAAATAATATTAGAATCACTACATGTCTCATCTAAAGAAAGAAAATTTAAAATTTTAGAATATTACAATCACTGCATGCGTCATCTACATATTACAATCACAGCATGCCTCATCCACGTAAAGTATTATATAAAGTATTATCATCTGTGATTCTTAAAATATAAAAATAATTCAAACCACCAAAATTATGAACAGAGCAGTAGTAGAAATTGTATACCTTTGTATTGTTACATTTATATATATTTTTCGAAACAAAAACCAACCAGCATATATCATCTTTTTTACTTATTATTTTTAGAGTTAGATTTAAAAACTAAAAAATATAGATAAATAATACATTTATTTTTTTCAATTCAAAAAATATATTCAAGTTGAAAACTCTTTTTCAACAAAATATATTCAACAGAGTATTTAAATTCATTTTCAATTGAAAACACAAACAGAATATCTAAACAAATTGAATATACAAAATCTTACAAAGTATTAAGGGTGCTTGCAGTTTGGGGGTTCGGTTGCGGCCAAAGGAATCTCAAATCCATCATCCGTCCAAAACTAAGCGGTTTGGAAAAAATCAATCCGCAACTGTCCGTTCGTCATCACGCATCCGTCCAAAATGCGGCAGATTGGTTCGGTTCGATCGGTTTAGACAGATCGATATATTCGCTGCTCACCCCTAATCAGTGCCCCTCTCTCTTTTTCTCTTCTCTTTTTTTTTTCTCTCTCTCTCTCTCTCTCACTCCCTCATTTGCTTGTTCACTTAGCATCTGACACTAAAAACAAAGTCGGCCAGCCAAAAATAAATAAATAAATAAATAATCGATTAGCCAAAAAAACTCTGCATTTTTCTTTTTATTTTACTTGAAGGTCTGAACGTTCGAGGGAACTATCGGCCAAACGACCCATGGAACTTCCCATGTCCCCCCCTCCCCCTCTCTCTTACTAGCTAAAATGCTAACCACAATTAATAAAGAAGTTAACAAGTGACACTAACACAACCCACTAACACACTCCTTAACACTTCTATTGTAAAGACAAAAGTTACTCTATCTCCTCTAAATTTTGGCCACTGACACTAGCACACCCACTAACACATCCATTGTGGATGCTCTTACAGCATCCACAATAGACACACTAAGTTGTGTGTTAGCGTCAGGTGCCAACTTTTGACTAGCTTAGGGTATTGTTTGGTGCTGCAGTGGATGGGTTAACGTATGTGTTAGTAGTGTGTGTTACTGGTGTGTGTTAACTTGTTTGTTATCTGCAGCGATGGTTTTAGCTAGCGAAGGAGGCGTGTTTTTGGTCTTACGGGTTGACCGGCCGGGCGTCCGGCCGGTTGACTGGTCAACGGCAATTTTTTTTTTATACTTGTTAGGATTTTTTTTTTGGAATTGAAATTTAATTTTGGGTTTGAAATTTTTTATTAAACTAAATTATTTATTTATTTTATTTATTATATACATATATATATATATTTAACGCACACCTTAACACATTCATTGCACTACCACTCACTCTCTAAAATTAACAAACTGTTAACACATCTTAACAAATATTTTTGAGCCCCACTTCTATACTTTTTATCATATAACACACCTCAATACACTTTTTTAGCCATCCCATTGTGAATGCCCTTACACCCTTAAAATTTTAATTTTTCATTTTATTTTTTTATAATTTTTATAATATGTCTTATCCTCATCCTTACCAGTCAATTTCTCTTTATACCCAACCCTTTCGAACCTTAGTTTCATTCACCTCCAATTCCAACTCACAGAGCAGACCAGGTGTGAGCCTCGTGTGCAATAGCCCTCTACGCGACTCTCTCAATAAAATCAATCTATTCTCTTCCCTCTAACAGCCAAATCGAAAATTGATGCTGGTTCCTTCATAATAACACATACACACATGAGTCAACGCTGGCGAAAACAAGTCCATTATGGCAACAACGACGGACTGAACTTGATGAAAAGAAGCCAATGACGGACTGAAACCATCAGGGAAAAGAAACCGGCGACGAACCACTGCCGGCGAAACCCACCAACACTATCAGAAAGTTGACGTCGGAGGAAGATCGGAGAAAAAGTTGCGAGGTGTGCCCTCAAACTCTGAAAATCTGATTTTTTAGAGTGAGAAAGTAAAAAAACATAGACGTCATATATGGTTGTTATTGTTTGTTTCAGATTTGTTTTGATATATATGTATATATGTATAGATGGTTTATTAACCCATTTCAGATTTTAATATGTTGCCTAAGTTTAATCTGTTAATTCAAATCCAGATTTTAATATTTTTGATTCAGATTAATTCAAATTTGATTCAGATTTTAATTCAAATTGATTCAGATTAACCCATGTTAATTCAAATTTGATTTGAATATATTTGATTCAGATTTTAATCTGTTAATTCAAATTCAGATTTTTGAAATCAATTAATTCAAATTTTTTCATATGAAATGGGTTCAGTCAGTGAAGTAAGTCAGATTTTTTCATATGCAATTTTATGTTCTACATATATAGGTAATCACATTGATCTATTTTCAGATTCATAAATTTAGTTGTGGATTCATATAATTATATGGTTTATATATATGAATTGTAGGTAAATGTGATTTATATATATGAATGTGGTTTATATATATGAATTGTAGGTAATGGAAGAAAATAATACTGTTGATGATTGTGGTTAGAAGCCGAAAGTGGGAATGCCATTTGACTCTGAACAAGCCGCATATGACTTTTACAATACATATGGGGGAAAGGTGGGCTTTAGTATTAGGAAGGCATATGCAAACAAGAACAGACAGACGAAGGAGATAACATCACGCACGTTTGTATGTTACAAAGAGGGAAGTCGGGGTATTGCCAAATGAGATCCACTTGTCAAAAATCCAAGACAAGAGGTAGATGTGGTTGTGGTGCCAGATTTAGTATCAAGTTAGATAGAATATCAGGAAAATATATTGCTTGTGATTTTGTTAAACATCATAATCATGATCTTGTGCCTCAAGATTGCATTCATATGTTGCCATCCCAAAGAAAAATTTCTACCACCCAAGCAATTGAAGTAGAATTAGCTTCACAATCTGTAATTCCTCTTAGGTCTGCTTATGAACTATTTGGTAGGGAATCTGGTGGAAGAGAATCACTTGGTTTCACCAAATTGGACCAAAAAAATTACGTAAGATCGAAGAGACAAAAAGATTTGGAATATGAGGAAGCGGGTAGTGTGTTGCATTACTTTCGTAAGAAAACTGTGGAAAATCCATCTTTTTTTTATGCAGTCCAATTAGATTGTGATGAGCAGATAAGTAATGTATTTTGGGCTGATGCTCAAATGATCATGGACTATGCTCAGTTCGGTGATGTAGTGACATTTGACACTACTTACAAACTAAATAATGAGCATAGACCTTTTGGATCATTTGTTGGATTTAATCATCATCGAGAAACAGTTATATTCGGTGCAGCATTGATGTATGATGAGACTGCTGAATCTTTTACATGGTTGTTTCAAATTTTTTTGGAGGCAATGTCAAACAAAGCTCTAAAAACTATTTTCACAGATCAAGATGCTGCGATGGCTAAGGCCATTTCAATTGTCATGCCCAATACAAACCATCGTCTTTGTACGTGGCATTTGATGCAAAATGCTGTCAAGCATGTAAGTTCTGTTTTCGATGATGTAGGGGTGAAGGGTGTGTTTTCAAAATTTATGCATGACATTGATGATGAAGAAGAATTCCGAATACAGTGGGACCAAATGCTTGATAAGTATGATGCATTCGACAATCATTGGTTGGAGAAGACTTTTCGCGTGAAGGAGAAATGGGGATGGCCATATATTATGAATTCTTGGGCAGCTGGAATGAGTACTACTCAACTTAGTGAATCCTTTAATGCATTTCTGAAAGATTATCTGAATTGTGACCATAATTTGATGGAGTTCTTCAAGCATTTTGAGAGGTGCTTTATGAGAAGAGGTATAAGGAATTGGAAGCGGAGTATAATTTGTCCCAAAAATTGCTGAGGGTTTCAATTCCAACTGTGATGTTAAAGCAAGTGGCAGAGATTTACACGAAAACTATTTTTAAGGAATTCCAAAATGAGTATGTGCAGTCCGTTGAAGCATCCATTATAGGCACTACTAATGATGGTGAGAGCACCAAATTTACAATAACAACAATGGTAGATGGGAAAAAAGATAAGATTGTGACAATTGATAGAGGGGGTTGTTTGAGTTGTAGTTGCAAGAAGTTTGAAGTGAAGGGCATATTATGTCGACATTGTCTCAAGGTGCTTAGAGATATATTCAATGCAACGGAACTTCCTCCACAGTATATACTCAAACGATGGACTAAAAAAGCAAGGGCTGAACGAGTGAAAGATAGACGTGGGTATGAAGTGAATGCTGATGTCAAATTACATCAAAGTGACCGATATCGGTCATTAATGACCATGTTTAGAGCAATAGCGAGTAGAGCTGCTGAAAGTGAAGAAACTTATCAGTTGTTAGTTTCAAAAGGTGAAGAATTGAGTGTAATGGTTGAAGACAAATTAAGTCTCCACATTGGTGGTCAAGTGGAGGTAACTGATTTGAGAAATTCGTCAAGCAACGCATGCCCACAGAGTGATGAAGTAGATTGTCCAATCCAAGCTAAAGGACTGAAGAAAAGAGAGTTAACTAGTAAGGGAAGAAGGAGGATCAAAGGCGGGATGGAAAAAGCTATTGTAAAGAAGAAAAGGATGCAATCTATTTAAGTTTGGACATGACAAATTGCATACGATTAAAATACAGTAGATTAGTAAACTAAAACATTGATTTTATTTAGTAATGACCCACTTTCATTAAGGTTTTTCGTTGTGTGTAGGGTGGCGCTGATTATACTCCCAAATGTGAATCTCAGCCTCATTTCCACATGGGTAATAATTCTATTCAGGTAATATTTAATAGTAATGTGGTCTTTATATGGTTAGTTTGATGAGTTCATTTCATTAAGTTCATTTATTATATGGTTAATTGTTGTTATGTGTAATTGGTTTGCTTCGCAATGTAGTCGGGTGGTACTGTTTACACTTCCCAAGGTGAATCACAACCTCATTTTGTCATGGGTGGTAATTCTATTCAGGTATTTAATGGGTGAATCATGGGTGGTAATTTTATTCATGGGTGAATCACAACCTCATTACTGTTTACACTTCCCAAGTTGGGTTGCTTGGCATTTAATTATTTTTATCTGTAATTGGTTTGTCTGGCAATGCAGTCGGGTGATGCTATTTATACTTGCCAAGGTCAATCACAATTGCATTTCGTCATGGGTGGTAATTCTACTCAGGTAATAGTTTTTTGTGTGCAAGTTTTTACGAAAATGTTAAATAATGACCATGTTTTTTATTCAAATATTTTGTTTACATAGTTTCTATTGGTTGTATTTAGGATCATGGTCTTGGTGTCAATTTTTCTCAATCACAACCTCGTTTTGTCATGGGTATTAATTATAATAAGGTAATATTAATGTTCAATGATGTTTCTTTTGTTTTTAAAATTTTTTGGTTATTAATCTTTTTTTTTTGTTTTTCGTCATGGGTATTAATTTAGGATCATCGTCATGATATGTACATTTCTCCATCTCAACCTCGACCTCAAGTTCTTATGGGTGGTACAAGTGGTCCTCCTCTTACGTATGGTACATATGATGTGAGTTATAATTAGTGGCATAGTTTACATTTAAAATGTAGTATACATTGTAATCGAAGTTGAATACATGGTTTGGTGTATTGCAGGAGAATAACACGGCTCAGTCAATGCCTTCTATGTATCCCACTCACAGATCTTTTCAGGGGTTGCTTCGAGGTACAAGTGTTAAAAACTTTGCAGTCCATCTCTCGCAAGGGTCACATAGTCCTGCTGACAGTCATGTAGATGGACATCCCTGAGAAGTTTATTTTATCTTCATTTGTTTTGGACAGATGTATTTTGTGTTGGATAGATTTATAATGATGTGGATAGATTTTGACAGTTTTCTTTTATTTTGGACAGATTTGGTGTCATGAATGTTGGACAGATTTGGTTGTGCTATTTTGTGTTGCACAGGTTTATAATGTTGTGGACAAATTTTGAATGATATGGACATCCTACGGATAGTTTGCTTTTATTTTGGATAGATTTTTTGGTTTTGGACAGTTTTTTTTGGTTTTGGACAGATTTGGACAGGTTTATAATGATCTGCACGGATTTTTTGGTTTTGGACTGATTTTTTGATTTTGGACAGTTTTTTTTGGTTTTGGACAGGTTTATAATGATCTGCACAGATTTTTTGGTTTTGGACAATTTTTTTTGGTTTTGGACAGATTTGGATTGGTTTATAATGATCTGGGTTTTGGACAGATTTGGACATGTTTATAATGATCTGCACAGATTTTTTTGGTTTTGGACTGATTTTGGACAGTTTTGGTTGTCTTATTTTGTGTTGCACAGGTTTATAATGTTGTGGATAGATTTTGGAATGATCTAGACAGATTTTGGAATGATCTGGACAGATTTGGACAATTTTTTTTTGTTTTGGACAGTTTTTTTTTTTTTTGGACAGATTTGGTTTTAGACAGTGTTATTTTGTGTTGTTTGCACAGATGTGGATTCTGGACAGATTTGGATACATGTATACTGTTTTGGACAGATTCGATTATGTTGTAGACAGATTTGGTTGTGTTATGTTATGGACAAATTTGGTGAAGAACAAGTATGACCTGACCAATAATAAGAATATAAAAATAATGAAATCTGTCCACAACATTATAAAATAATGAGATCTGTCCACAACATTATAAAATAATGAAGTCGTCAAGCATAGGTAATTTCAGGTAACGTCATTGACAGAAACAAAAAAGAAGCGCATCACATTCGTCAAACGTAGTTAATTCCATTAAGCTTTACATATCAACATTCATAGTTTAAGGTCTACAACATTCAAAACCCAAATACATCCACCAAAAAAAAAATTACAAAATACCAAAAAATTAACTAAAAGGTTACATTCACTTCAGTAGTGCTATTAGCATGGTAAAACCAATCAAGACTATGGCTGTGAACATAAACAGTTTCATCGCTTCTTGGTTTGCTTCAACTCGTTCCAATTTATTTATAATTTGATTGAGTTTGTCAACATCATAATCATAGCCTCTCTCATCTTCATTCTTCATATGACTAGCTTTACTTTTCCTTTGGATATCTGATGCATTCCCAGTCGAAGCCAGTCTCCACCCAAAGAACTCGCACATCCTATTTGGACACTTGAAATACAGCCTCCCTGGATTTTTCTCTGATTCTGATATGAACACTGCAGCTTTTTTTCCAAAATTGCATCTCTGATTTTGCAAATATCCAGCATCAATGTTTGAACCCATTGACATTGACATGATCCTAGTAAGAGCATTTTCCACAATTACAATCAGTCCATTAAGACAACATTCAAACAAAGCTGTAAAATAAAGCACTAATCAATGATATAATAACCATTTGTCTAATAAACATTGTCATTTTCATGTTCATGTTAATTCTTAATGTTATTTTCATGTTCATGTTCATCCTAGTCATATACATAGTTCATGTTCATGTTCATCCTATACATAGTTCATGTTCAGTCCTAGATCATATACATAGTTCATGTTCATGTTCATCCTAGTCATATACATAGTTCATGTTCATTCTTAGATCATATACATAGTTCATGTTCAAACCAGTAAAATAACAAACTTACATGCATTGCCATTATTTATGTTTTGTTTGACACAGGCAACTACCCTGTTTATTCATGTTTTTAATAACCATTGTCAACATTCATGTTTTCTTCTGTTTTTTTTTACAATGGGACCAATATAGATCAAACAGTCCTGCTATGTGTCAAACAGTCCTCACTTTAATATTTTCACTAATGGATCAATGCTATGTGTCAATGTTTTCTTGAAAATTCACACCTATACACTTTCTGTGACCTCAAGGTCTAAAATGTCGGCCATAACCCCAGCTGCCAATAAATTAGGCTCAATATGACTATGGTTAACCCATTTCTTGTGCAGCATAGACATAGCAAACATGTGGAGGTGCCTATCATAATGATATGTGTTAATGTTTTGTCCAGAAATGATAAACCATCGAGTCATACCACCAAGTCATTCCATATGGTCATATAAGGTCCATATACATGGTATGACTCACTGGTATCTCTAGCATCACAGTTTTTTCTTCCACACGCTTGTGTGAGGTTTGATTCAAGTTACCCTTCAATCTATGTTCCTTCTTCATTTGCTATCACTACACTACCCCACCAATAATACACTGTCAAGCTCTGTTTTTGGATCTTGGATGTTTTGGATGTTTGGTTCAGTTTTCAGATTTTTTTTAAAATTTTTTTTCAAAAATACCAAAACTAAACAGGGCAGTCCTATTTGAATCATGTCACTATTTGATCTATATTGTTCTTGTGCCTCATTCTGTTGCCATATAAAAGGAAAAAAATTTGAATCATGTCTCTCTTAGATCAAACAGGGCAGTCCTGGAATCACTACAAGGTGTTCCTGATATCTATGAGCAGATTTCAGGGATCATAATGGAGTACATTAAACCAGAGGAGAGTATTATCCTGAATGTTTTATCTGCAACAGTTGATTTCCCAACATGCGAGTTGATAAGGAAATAAATGAATTCAAGGACTCAAAGACTCAAAAATGAATTCCTCAATGATTCTGTGTCAAAAGTGTCAAATAAAAAGAAAAAAAAAATTCTTTTTTAATAGAAATGTGGAACCCAGATTAACACAAATCTAATTTCGGAAAAATTCATTTTGAATCATAAAAATTCATTTTGAACCCAGATTAGCACACATAAAAATTCATTTTCAATCATGTCTCTATTTGATCTAATTACATCAAATGGTGAACATTGAACAGATTAACACAAGCATTGGGAATAATTTCGGAATAACACCAAATCAAAAAAAATTTGCAAAAATTTAACAGAAATCACACCAAATC